CAGCATATTAGAATGATTTCTGAAGGATCATGTGACACTGAAGACTGGAGTAATGATGCTGAAAATTCTGCTTTGCTTCACCAGGAATACATTATATTTTAAAGTATATTAAAATAGTAAACCAATATTAGAAATTGCAATAATATTTACTGTTTTTTCTGTTTTTTCTGAATCTTTGTTCAAATGAACACAGCCTTGATGGACATAAGAGACTCCATGAAAAATCTTTCGTATCTTTCGTATCCCAAACTTTTGAACAGCACTGTGTATGCATGTATATATTAGTGCTGTCAAAATTAGCGCGTGCTGTAGCCTGTATATATTTTCATATCAAAGCGCAAAATAAACTACGTGCATGTAATGTCGTGGTCAGTTAAGTCATGAAGTTACCAAAAAGGCGATTAAAGCTGCTTTAAAACTGTGCATGCATGTAATATATTTTATATGAGTCACATTTAAGAACATGTCTCTGAAATGGTTTTCAAAACTGTCCTGGAGCAGCCCAGCACTGTCTCGCTCTTAAAGTAATAGCAGCCAAAATAACCAGCTGCTGTGATGACTGTTAATCAAAGGACAAAGAAAAAAGAGGAAATAAAGATCTTTTACAGCTTTAAGGAATCATCTATATTTAATTTAGTATTTAGTGTTTGATAACTTCAAATTCAATTTCTGTATATTTCTGCTGGGCACAGGTAAATATGACATTTATTATAATGGGTTTATGTGAAGATTGTTTTAATAAATGATAAAATTGATAGCTCTGAATTATACTGTAATGCTGAATGGCTATAGTCAATGGTTAAATATTAGGGGTAAAAAACAATTTTATAGAGACTTCAGTAGTATTGATACTGGCCTTCAGTCATAAAAAAAGATACTGAAGCCTGATGATTGGTAAAGCTCTGAAACTCACTGCCCTGCTGGCAAAACGTTCAGCAGAAAGCAGGAGAGATAGTAGCAGATTGTTTCTTTACCACTCAACACCATTGCATTATTTAGTTCCCCACCCACAAATTGACATTAATATGTTCTATTATTTAAAGAATTTGAATTGCTTCATTAGTGCGGATTTGTAAAACACAAATTAATTTTTTTGAGAATTTGAGATTTTTTGAGAATCGACTAGAGACTATTTTGATAATTGATTAATCGATTGTTTCTTTGCTTAATTGCTCAGATTAAACAAAAAGCCTTTATTTTTTGTTACATATATACATATATATATATATATCAAATCAAATCAAAATTAGCATGTTAATGCAGGCGATTAATTTTTCTAGTTTAACTGCTTTTAACGCAGGGGCGGAGCTAGGGTTGGCCACCCCACTCACAACTGCTGCTTCTGTCTCTCTTATTTCTTGACAAGAATTGAGTTTATTTAGACGCAGAGCATCTTTACGACTGTGCTCGTAGCACGTGCTCTTTAATTGCATGCACAAATAAGGTGGCATGCACTGTAGCCTGTATCATTTCATATTAAAGCGCAAATGGAAATAAAAGCATGTGTGTCAGATCCGTGTCATGTTCAGCAGCGGCAACTCTCAAACTAATAGCAGCCAAATATCCTAATAACCCAGCTGATAACAATATCCTGATGATGATACTCAAATATCCTAATTACCTAGTGATATCTGTTAATCAAAGAACAAAAGTAAAAGAGGAAATCAATAACTTTTGTAGCTGTAAGATTCGTCTATATTTAATTTCGAATTTAGTGTTTGATAACTTTATTCAATTTCTGAATATTTCCTACTAGCTGAAGGGCAACGGTAAATATGACATTTATTATAATGGGTTTATGTTAAGATTGTTTGAATTTCACTTAAATTAGAAGTTAGTTTTTCAAGTCTAATAAATGTTAAAATTGATAGCTTTTAATTATACTGTAATGTTAGCATAGTCAACATTACATATAGTGAATGGTTAAATATTAGGAAAAAAAGAATTTCCTAGGGACATCAGTAGTATTGGTATCAGGGATACTTGCCTTCAGTCATAAAAAAAGATACCATTAAACAAATATTAAAAATATACTGTCTTTATGTTGTTTGTATGTTAATTTGAAGATTATTGCAATATAAAAGTATATTTAAAAACTTTAATGTTAGGTCACACAGAAAATGTGATTATTTAGTTGTTTTTTTTTAATCGATTGACAGCACTAGTATATATGTGTGTGTATATACACACACACACACACATACACACACACACACATATATATATATATATATATATATATACGGGTAAGGTCTAGGAAAGCACCTGAAATCTGCAATTTTACCTAAAATGTAAAATAGTGCAGTGAGTCCCCTATGTCCTGGGGGTTGTGTGTGTGTGTGTGTGTGTGTGTGTGTGTTGAGCGTTTCTCTGAGCAGTGTGCGGTGTGCGGGGCTGATAACAGTAAACTGAGGTATTGTGGGATTAGTCCTGAGCCGAACTGCTATTATCGATTAATATCTCTCTGCTTTTGATTAATGTTCTTCAGCAGGAGGTGATGTGACTGGAATGAGAAGCACGAGTAGAGTTGATTTCACTGCACTTCCTGATGTTTGCATAAAAACAATACAAACTCACTCTCATGTTGTTGCAAACCTGCATGACTTTCATCCTTTCATCTGTGCAACACAAAAGATGACATTGTGAAAACTGTGCCGGACGCTCTTTTCCATGCAGCTTCCAGCTTCAAAAACAAAGCTATAGCAATTTTAATTAAGCAATTAAACAATTTAGTAAAAAGATCAAACGTAACAGAGTGATTTGCCCAATCAGACCTAGAAGATCTAGTGTGTGTAGAATGCTGCACATGTCATATGCTTCTTTTTTTTTAAAGCTTGAAGGCTTCGGCCCCCTTCTGCTTTCATTATATGGATGAGAGCAGCATGAACATTCTTCACAAGTGCTCCCTTTGTGTTCCACAGAAGAAAGTCATACGGTTTTGGAGCAACATAATGATTAATTGAAGTCTGAATTGATATTGTAAATGTGACAATGGTTCAGAAACAGGACATGTGTTCTCTGGCTCACAAACCGCCTGAGACTGTCTGTTCATAACTCGAGTAACAGTTTGAGTTAAATTCCCACCTGCTTCTTCTGTATTGATCAGTCGTAGACCCTTGTAAATGTTCATATTCTCAAAGGTCAAGGAGAGTTTTGGCATTATTGTCTTATGTTTCAGCTCCTTCGGTAGTTCTCTAACCGCTCCGTGGTTGTAGTTCAGTGTTAATAAAGTGTGTTTTTGTCTTTATAGATTTCCTGGCAAGACCCTGAAGGGCAAAAAATACAAGCCTCTGTTTGAGTACTTCATCAAGGTAAACTGTGTAATGCTGCATCACTGCAGATTGATTCACAGTCGCTGACCGTTTCATACTCTCACATTTCTTTAAGGAGAACAGAGATGACAGAATGCTGAGACTTATGTATCTGAAAAATATTTTAGCGTTAAATTAAATGGATCTGTGGGTAAATCTGCTTCTTCTGATGTCGTCATTAGTCGGGATGTTATGACACTCGCACAAGTGTTTCTGGGTAAAGCATTTCATCTTCTGATGTCAGAAGTGGTCTTGATGAACGCTTGTTTTTCTTCTCAGTGTAAGGAGAGCGGTGCGTTCTCGGTGGTGGTGGATAACTATGTGCGTGATGATGACGGGACAGGAGTGGTCCATCAGGCCCCATACTTTGGAGCTGTAAGTCACATCTACATTGTGCTTTCATTAAATAGTGTCCTTCAGGGGTTTTGGGTAATGTTGCTTTATAAAGCAGTGGTTTGAGAGCTATCTATCTATCTATCTTATCTGTCTGTCTATCTATCTATCTATCTATCTATCTATATCTATCTGTCTATCTATGTCTGTCTGTCTGTCTATCTATCTATATCTGTCTATCTATATGTCTGTCTGTCTGTCTATCTGTCTGTCTATCTATCTATCTATCTGTCTGTCTGTCTGTATATCTATCTATCTATCTATCTATCTATCTATCTATCTATCTATCTATCTATCTATCTATCTATCTATCTATCTATCTATCTATCTATCTATCTATCTATCTATCTATCTATCTATCTATCTATCTATCTATCTGTCTGTCTGTCTGTCTATCTATATCTGTCTATCTATATGTCTGTCTGTCTGTCTGTCTATCCATCCGTCCGTCCGTCCGTCCGTCTGTCTATCTGTCTCTCTGTCTATCTTTCTTCAGTAATTTTATTTTGTTACAAATATCTTGAGATGCAAATTGAACATATGAAGTCTTGTTTTATAAAAAACAAATAAATAACAAATATCTGTCAGTGGGGAATTTAAACTTTTTCCCCTTTGAATTAAATTGATTTGTCTAAGCCCACTGGCCTATGTTTGTTCTTGTTTTAATCAAAAACTCACAAAGAAATTCTCATAAAACAAGACTTATCTTATATCTTCTCCAGTAAATGTATCTTGATTTAGGAATCTTTAGACATTTGCCATGTTAAGTATTCTGTGTTGTTCTCAAACGGGAAACAAGACAAAAATCCTGATGAAGAGCAAGACTTTCTTCAGTGGGATTAAAAGTGTCAGTAAAAAGCGGTTTCATATTCGTAGTGGTTGAGAGCAGAGATATTCAAGCCATAAGTTGATGTATTGTTATCCATTCAATTTAATTCTTAAGTTTTCTTTATTTGGTCTTAAAGTCCTAAATTTACATTCATAAAACCTGCAGAAACCCTGTTTGAGAACAACACAGAATACTTAACACTGACTACAGTAAATTGAGTTTGAATAATTACAATTAGCAGTAATAATAATAATGTTAATAATAATAATAAAAGTAATGACCAATAAATTACCTCAGGTTCTTCACATACATCGTAATTACTTAAAATCTTCCATCTGTGCATTTGAGATGAGTTAATTCACATGTTTGGGTGCATTCTCAACAGAGCTGTGAAAACATTCGTTTCAGTTTTATTTTATTTGTAAGAAAACACCATGCATGAACTGAAGAAACAGATCCAAGACATCCTTGAACAGTCCCTGTCAGGACAATGACTGAAGAAAGTTTTAGGGGCATCAAATAAGCCTTAAAGCAGAGTTGAAGTGCTTTATTAAAAAGAGTGGCTGGAAGAAGCTTTTGGTGAGAAACTCCTTTCAAATTTCAGCCTGAAGGCATGTGAGCATCTCAAGCACCATTCCATCTAATGAGAGTAAAGTGAACTCTGGTCCTCATCTCTGTGTTGAATGTTTGATGCAGACCAGCCTCACATCAGCATCACCTTGAGGTTCCTCTCTGTGCCAGAGACAGAAGAACTTGTGAAGGTAGAAGGACAAGCAGATGATGCTAAACACTGAACAATCCTGCTGTTAGCCACATGAGCTCAGGGACTTTAAATTATTTATTATGGGAGAGCAAGCAGTACTTAAAGTATAGGACACACAAATGTCCTGGAGTCCTCAGACTTCACTGCACTAAAGCATCTGTGATATAGATCACTTTTACTGCAGATTAATGATCCGATCAAACCTCTAAAAGGCAGTATTAAAGTTGATAGTGTATCATCCTGCAGCGTCTGTGCACCAAACGAATGAATGATTCCTCAAATCATGTGTCTTGTTCAGGACATGTGTGTTGTTACTTTACAAATTCATCCAGAACACCCAAGCAATTAGGGTTGGGAATCGAAAATTTATTCCAATTCCAGAATCGGATACTTGTTGTAAAATTAAAATTCCGATTCCGCCTATCGATTCCTTTTTTTTTTTCGTCTGTGAGGACCCGACCAAGCGATCTGCCAGGACCTTGCTTGCTAATCTAAGTGCTCCAATGTTTGAGTACACTTGCATTTAGAGTCTGAAAAGCCAAGTATAATATTTGTGATAAGCTAAAAATGTGGCAAGAGAGGTGTCACCACCACCATGACAAAAAAGCACTTTATTTTAACAGATTGTTAAAGATTGCGAACACCGTTCAAACCGTTCATGATTCTATTCCTAAATTACAATGATTCATCGGTTTCATTCATAAACCTTTGATGTGTGCGATCATGCCTGTGCAGCGAATGATCACATCAGTGTGATTTGAACCTTTAAACCTGCGTTTGCTTTGCCACTGACCTGAAGAGAGCAGCTGTCATGTATATGAATGAAACTACTGGGAAGTACTGGGATAAAAGTTTATAGTTCGGATATAAACTCTGATTTCTACGTTAGCGATTAAAATAGAGTAGCTAAATCACCTTTTGAAAATAATTTGACACTTCAAATAAAGATTTATTGATTAAGTTGTTACGCCAGTAGGTGGCGAAAAGGGGCTTTTAAAATGTCTTGAATCGTTCAAGAGATTCATTTACAAATGCTGATTCATCCAGTAATGAAACTTTGTTAAATAAAATTGAGTGAGTCATTGAATCATTCATTCATAAATTACATGTGATTTTGTTTAGTTGCCTAGCCTAATTTTTTTCTTCAGAATCTTGAGATCACCAGAGTCTCCATTAAAAAAACAACAAAAAAAACCCATCTCCGTTTATCCAGAATCATGCAGCTCTTAAATTACTCCAGTTTTTATGGCATTCAGATGCAACTAAATGTTTTGCAATAATGAGAGACAGAATAAATATGTTTGATATAATTTTTGCAATCACATTGGAATCGAAACTGGGAATCGAAAAGAATCCGAATCGGAATTGATAAAATTCAAACAATACCCAACGCTACTAGCAATTGCATAGCTGCTACCAAGACACCACCTGAAATGCCATTTCAACCACCCAGAACACCCTAGCAACATAGCAGTACCTTAGCAACCACCCAAAACTACCCACAACACCTTAGCAACAGATTAGCAACGCCCTGGTAACACCTAGAAGACCAAGAAACTGCATGCCAATGCTTCGGCAGTCCCCCAGAACACCCTAGCAACTGCATAGCAGTAGCCTAACAGCCATGCACATACTCCCTAAAACACCCAAGCAACAGCATAGCAACACTCTGGCAACCCCCAGGAACACCCTAGTAACTGTATAGCAAAACCGTAACAACCATGGAAACGGCATGACAGCGACCTGGAGGACTCTAGCACGTGCATAGGAAACCCTAGCAACCTTTGAGTACATTTTAAGAACTGCATAGTAGTACCCTAGCAGTCAAATAGAAACTGCCTAAAACACTTTAGAATCTGAACACCCTTACAAGTGAATAGAAACTCTCTGGCAACTGTTGGGAACACCCTAGCAACTGCAAAACGAGACTTGAACAACCTCCAAGAACACCATAGTAACAGCCTGGCAATAACCTAGAAGACCTTAGCAACTGCATGGCAACACCCTGGCAATCACCCAAAACACTCCTTGAGAACACCCTAGCAACTGCACAGCAACACTCTGACAAACACACCCAAAACACCCTAGCATATCGGTACCCAAGAAACCACCTGAAACACCCTTGAAACTGTGTAGCAAATCTCTGGCAATCACCCAAGAACACCCTAACAACTGCATAGCAACATTTAGCAGCCACATTAAAAGATACCTACAATTCCTTAGAAACTGTTAAAACGTTCTTGCAACTGCATAGCAACTCTCTGGCATCCCCCAGAACACCCAAGCAACTGCATGACAACATACCAGGAGTCATTCAGTAATTACCTAAAACACCCTTTAAACTGCATAGCAACAGTCTTTCAAAAACTCTAGCAACTGGTAGCAGTGCCCTTGCAGCCATGTAGAAACTACCTAAACACCCTAGCAGCTGTTAAGAAGACCCTAGTAACTGCATAGCAACACTCTGACAAACACCCCGAGAACACCCTAACAACTGCATAACAACTTTCACAAACACCCCAAGAACACCTTAACAACTGCATAGCAACACCCTTAACAACTGCATAACGACACTGACAAACACCCTAGCAACCGCACGACAACACTGACAAACACTTTGAGAATACCCTAGCAACCACATAGTAACACACTGACAAACATCTCGAGAACACCATAAGAACCGCATGACAACACTCTGACAAACCCCCCCAGAGCACCCTAGCAACCACATAGTAAAACTCTGACAAACACAGGGAGAACACCCTAGCAACTGCACGGCAACACTCTGACAAACACCTCGAGTATACCCTAGCAACTGCACAGCAACTCTCTGACAAACACCCCGAGAACACCCTAGTAACTGCACAGCAACACTCTGACAAACACCCTAAGACCTCCCTAGCAACTGCACAGCAACTCTCTGACAAACACCCCGAGAACACCCTAGTAACTGCACAGCAACACTCTGACAAACACCCTAAGACCTCCCTAGCAACTGCACAGCAACTCTCTGACAAACACCCCGAGAACACCCTAGTAACTGCACAGCAACACTCTGACAAACACCCTAAGACCTCCCTAGCAACTGCACAGCAACTCTCTGACAAACACCCCGAGAACACCCTAGTAACTGCACAGCAACACTCTGACAAACACCCTAAGACCTCCCTAGCAACTGCACAGCAACTCTCTGACAAACACCCCGAGAACACCCTAGTAACTGCACAGCAACACTCTGACAAACACCCTAAGACCTCCCTAGCAACTGCACAGCAACTCTCTGACAAACACCCCGAGAACACCCTAGTAACTGCACAGCAACACTCTGACAAACACCCTAAGACCTCCCTAGCAACTGCACAGCAACTCTCTGACAAACACCCCGAGAACACCCTAGTAACTGCACAGCAACACTCTGACAAACACCCTAAGACCTCCCTAGCAACTGCACAGCAACTCTCTGACAAACACCCCGAGAACACCCTAGTAACTGCACAGCAACACTCTGACAAACACCCTAAGACCTCCCTAGCAACTGCACAGCAACTCTCTGACAAACACCCCGAGAACACCCTAGTAACTGCACAGCAACACTCTGACAAACACCCTAAGACCTCCCTAGCAACTGCACAGCAACTCTCTGACAAACACCCCGAGAACACCCTAGTAACTGCACAGCAACACTCTGACAAACACCCTAAGACCTCCCTAGCAACTGCACAGCAACTCTCTGACAAACACCCCGAGAACACCCTAGTAACTGCACAGCAACACTCTGACAAACACCCTAAGACCTCCCTAGCAACTGCACAGCAACTCTCTGACAAACACCCCGAGAACACCCTAGTAACTGCACAGCAACACTCTGACAAACACCCTAAGACCTCCCTAGCAACTGCACAGCAACTCTCTGACAAACACCCCGAGAACACCCTAGTAACTGCACAGCAACACTCTGACAAACACCCTAAGACCTCCCTAGCAACTGCACAGCAACTCTCTGACAAACACCCCGAGAACACCCTAGTAACTGCACAGCAACACTCTGACAAACACCCTAAGACCTCCCTAGCAACTGCACAGCAACTCTCTGACAAACACCCCGAGAACACCCTAGTAACTGCACAGCAACACTCTGACAAACACCCTAAGACCTCCCTAGCAACTGCACAGCAACTCTCTGACAAACACCCCGAGAACACCCTAGTAACTGCACAGCAACACTCTGACAAACACCCTAAGACCTCCCTAGCAACTGCACAGCAACTCTCTGACAAACACCCCGAGAACACCCTAGTAACTGCACAGCAACACTCTGACAAACACCCTAAGACCTCCCTAGCAACTGCACAGCAACTCTCTGACAAACACCCCGAGAACACCCTAGTAACTGCACAGCAACACTCTGACAAACACCCTAAGACCTCCCTAGCAACTGCACAGCAACTCTCTGACAAACACCCCGAGAACACCCTAGTAACTGCACAGCAACACTCTGACAAACACCCTAAGACCTCCCTAGCAACTGCACAGCAACTCTCTGACAAACACCCCGAGAACACCCTAGTAACTGCACAGCAACACTCTGACAAACACCCTAAGACCTCCCTAGCAACTGCACAGCAACTCTCTGACAAACACCCCGAGAACACCCTAGTAACTGCACAGCAACACTCTGACAAACACCCTAAGACCTCCCTAGCAACTGCACAGCAACTCTCTGACAAACACCCCGAGAACACCCTAGCAACTGCACAGCAACACTCTGACAAACACCTCAAGTATACCCTAGCAACTGCACAGCACTCAGAAAGCCCTAGCAACTGCACATCAAACACCCTAGCAACCCCTCAGAACACCCTAGCAACTGCACATCAACACTCTGACAAACACCCCAAGCACACCCTAGCAACTGCACAGCAACACTCTGACAAACACCCCGAGAACACCCTAGCAACTGCACAGAAACACTCTGACAAACACCTTGAGTATACCCTAGCAACCGCACAGCAACACTCTAATGAACACCCCGAGAACACCCTAGCAACTGCACATCAACACTCTGACAAACACCCCAAGAACACCCTAGCAACTGCACAGCAACACTCTGACAAACACCCTAAGAACACCCTAGCAACTGCACAGCAACACTCTGACAAACACCCTAAGAACACTCTAGCAGCCGTGCAGCAGCAGTGCAGTGAGCTCAGTGGCTGTGGCGGTGAGTTAATGTCAGTGTTGTGTTTGTGTCACTCAGCGGCAGTCGTTATCAGTGTAGTGTTGAGCAGCTCCTGCAGCAGGAAGCAGTCTTTCTCTGGTTGTTTTGAGCAGGATGTTTGACTCTCCTGTGTGTCGTTGTGTGGAGGTTCATTCCCCAGATGTTCTGTAATTGAGACACAGGAACACACTCATGCTCTGCCGTTCTCAGAAACACAATCCCAGTGTGACGGGTGTTGTGTTCTTCTGTTTGCAGGATGATTACCGCGTCTGTATGGACTATAAGATCATTCAGAGAGACTCTGCTCCCATCTGCCCTGTGGACTCATCCGGCATCTTCACTGCAGAGGTCACTCACTTCGCCGGGCAGTACGTGAAGGTACGGATGCTGCTGTCTGCTGTCCACCTCATCAGAGGCTCAAGCGCACACACTGAGCTCCTCATGTGAGCTCCACTGCACACCACACTCACACTTACAGAGTAGGGCTGCAGGATACTGGAAAACACTTAACAGTGTAATATTTAGGGTCAGAGCACAATTCCATAAAAGCGCCGATGGGAGGGGAAAATTCTGCGGGTGATTTATTAACAATGTGCACATTAAAGAACACAGAAGCAGCAGATCATTTACACAATGACCAGCGCAATCTACCATGAGCAGCGCAAATTACCACCTGCTTTAAGTCATGCTTTTTTGGGCTTTAAATAATGCCACGGCACAAAACGAAACATCAGTTGCTTTACCTGTCAGTCATATGGTCACTTGGGTGGGCCTTGGCCATTCAAAGCGGCCAAGGTTCCGAGACCTTCTGCCATCAGACTGAAGGTCTATCTAGGCAAAGCTTAAGCCTTACCTAATATAAAGTTTAGACATTATTGAAGACTAGTGAACAGTCAGTAATAAAATAAAAACAGTTCAATAAACAATAAAGATTAATATTGTGAGTTACATTTTAGAGACAGTATTGTGTTTTTGCTCTTTTGCCAACTAAAATAGTTTGAAACAAAGCCACGGCAAAACAGATGCATGTCTCCAAGCAGCACGCATCGTTACTGAATAAATCTTCATTTTTGAACAAATTGGTTGAGTGAACAATTCAATGGCTCATTTATGAAGACAGTCACCTGCTGCTTTTCTGCATTTCCTTAGCTCAGTTTTCTGCACAACACTCACTCTTTTCACAATGCAATCAACAACCTTTTTTTTTGTTAAAAAGCCATTTCACTCAAAAATATAATAGAAAACAAAAGTTGTAGCTTCAGTTTCATGCTGACTTTAAGACAAATGTTAGTGGTGCTGAGCTGCTGTCCAAGTCTCTGCTGGTGAACTGTACAGCTGATGAGACTCGTGTGTGCGCGTGTGCGCGTGTGTGCGTGTGTGCGTGTGTGTGTGTGTGTGTGTGTGTGTG